CATATCTGTATCGTTTTGCATAGGAATAGTCAACGTAACAAGAGTAAGTGTAGCTTCTATGTGAGAGGGTTAGTTTTGGAACAACACATGTATAGTCTTGTTTATAAATTTGGGTTACTCTAATATATCTGTTGTTTGATTTGGTTTGTTTGTTTGTTTTTGAATTTCGCGCAAAGCTACACGAGGGCTATCTGCGCTAGCCGTCCCTAATTTAGCAGTGTAAGACTAGAGGGAAGGCAGCTAGTCATCACCACCCACCGCCAACTCTTGGGCTACTCTTTTACCAACTGTTTGATTTGGAGATTGTAATATCATTACGTATACTTGGGTTACTCTAATATATCTGTTGTTTGATTTGGAGATTGTAATATCATTACGTATAATTGGGTTACTCTATTACATCTGTTGTTTGATTTGGAGATTGTAATATCATTACGTATACTTGGGTTACTCTAATATATCTGTTGTTTGATTTGGAGATTACGTACAATGAGAATAAACTTCAACCGGTATATTATAAATTCACTTTCATGTGATTGTTATGTAATCTTAACTCTCAGATTACACAGGTCATGATCTTCTGTAGCGTTTACACACTTAGAATCTGATGAAAGTATTGTTAAACTATATTTATTTTTACTGTGTATTTCTTTTTACCAGTTCTAATTTCACTTCATTTCTGTATCCCAACCCAAGAATAATGACATAGAGTAAACCTACAAGCGCTACTTGAACTCACCAAATGTTACACAGTACATTGGTAACATATTTATTCTTTCCCTTTTTTCACTAGAATACACTGGACTATCAGTATTGTAGTAGTAAACTGTATTATCCGTGTCACCTAGCTCAAAAGTTGGCGGTGGGTGGTGTTGACTAGTTGCTCTCCCTCTAATCTATCACTGCTAAATTAAGAACGATTAGCGCAGGTAATCTTCAAGTAGCTTTGGGCAAAATTCAAACCAAACCGTTTGTTCAATAAATGTAAAACTTTTTTTTTTTATTCTAACCAAACAGTTGAAATGTAGAATAGTTTGTTCGAAACATTGTACTGGCAACCCAATACTATATAAGCTGTAGTGGACGATATTTTTTGGGAAGAAAAGTCGTCCCTTATTATCTACATGTACCTGCATGACAAACCCAGAATGTGAAAATCCCAATTTTGTTCTCAGTGATGAGGTTTTACAATTTCCAATGCAGGGCTGTCCCTTGTACTTAATGGCGTTGAAAAATGAAGAATATGGATAATCCTGGGGCACCAGGATCATTCAGAGACCTGCAATAAATCGTAATTCAGAAGGGTAAGTAAAAAGCGGATGTTTTGTAACAGATGAGGACACAAGTTCAGCGGTAAAATCCGTCGACGTGTCAAGGTAGCAGTAACGAACCTAATTAGGAAGGATATCTGTCTGGAAAAGCGAAATAAGTTACATGCACACATGTTACTTCCACGACATATCCGTTCAACCGTCACATACCTCAAGCAGCTGCAGAATGAAACATGCATTTATGTTATTCCACATAAAGGCATACCAGTCAAGTTGCCGGACGCAGCATGTACTGGGAAGCTTTCTTCCTCGTGCGCTGGTGGAATTGTGGAAAGTTGCAGAGAGGGGGAGTATACTTTGAACATGCCAGTCTTAAGAAGGAGCCTTTTGCAATGGAAAATACTCAGTAGGATTATTGTCAAGAAGTACGGTCGTCAGATAAAGCAAGACCGAAAGTGACGACATCAACTGTAATGATGTGGCGCAACTTCAAAATCGTATTAATATAACACACTCAACCTCTGTATAAATCAAAGTTGTGAACATGCATTACATCTTGTTAAATAATTAACCAGTCAAAGCTGTGAACATGCATTACATCTTGTTAAATAATTAACCAATCAAAGTTGTGAACATGTATTACATCTTGTTAAATAATTAACCAATCAAATCTGCGGACATGTTTTACAGCTTGCTAGTGCACATATGTTCTAGAATTGTATAAATACTTAACCAATCAAGGCTGTGAACATGTTTTACACCTTGTTAGTGAACCTGTGTTCTAGAATTGTATAAATACTTAACCAATCAAGGCTGTGAACATGTTTTACACCTTGTTAGTGAACGTGTGTTCTAGAATTGTATAAATACTTAACCAATCAAGGCTGTTTTACACCTTGTTAGTGCAAGTGCGTTCTAGAATTAATTTAACACTTAACCAGTTCAAGCTATGAAACATACCTCACACCTAAGTAAAACTTTTTGTTACTGCATTTTTACACACCTATATATTTACAATATTTCATCTCTGAATAACATACATCTACTTATATCTACATACACTTTATTTGACTTTAGATCTGAATTCTTCAGGTTTGAAACATTCTGATTCTTATCGAACAAATTCACTGATTTTTCAGTATTGAGATACAAAATTCTATACCTTGTAATCAGAATTTCTTTGTTAATTTTTTGTTGAACTACAGTTGTAAAAGAACAAAATCAAATATTTACTATTAGGCTAAAGGAAATTTGTTTTACACCTAAGAATGCGTTTTGTTCACAACAAAATCAGTTTATTTATATTTTTAATATTAGTATTACCCCCATTTCGTTGCTAACTTTTCTTTTATCGCTCAATTGTAAGCTCAATAGCTTATAACGTTAAAACTCGGGATTCGACGCCCCGCGATGGACAAAACGCAATTAACTTAATGTGTAACTTTGCGATTGACAACAAATCGGCCAACCTTTTACTAACTGCCCTTTCTGCCATCTAGTGGCGAGCTTTCATACTTATTCTTTGTTGAGCATTCTAATAAGTGTGTGCGTTAGATATATGAACGAAATTTTTTCTATTTCGCAAATTCAACTTGTTCTTTAACCAGGTCTGCAACATTATTTTTTTTAAATAATTGTTCCATACATTTATTTGATTCAAGTTATTCTTAGTCCAATAAAGTCGTCTAAATCTTTTATTATTATGTAGATCTTAACTTTGAATTTTACTACTTAAATCTAAATATCGTTATTTTACGAATATAGTTTAACTTTGTTCTTTATTATATAATTAATAACTTTGTTATTTACTGCACAGACGATTTTTTTTTATTTTTCTGAAAGTTTTGTTATTGCGATTTATCAGGAACGTCTTTTTTTTCGTTATGCAGAACTTATCATTGTTATTTACTAAGTATATCATAACTTTGTTATTTACTGAGTTGACTATTACGATGTTATTTAGTTGTTGTTTTTCATCTTAACTAGTTAGTAAACTTGTGAATCTTAACTTAATTATTTGCTGTGAAGATCTTAACTTTGCTATTTACTTGTGTTTATATTTGTTATTTACTTGGTAGATTTTTAACCTTGTTATATATTAAACTCATTTTTACTTTGTTATTTACTGCACTCTAAATTTATCACTTACCAGTTAGATCTTTGTTATGTTCTAATTAGATCCTAACCTTGTTATTTACTGGCTAAATCGTTTCTTTGTTAATGTTTGGATCTTGACTACATTATTACTTATTCGGTAGACATTTATATTGTTTTACTCTTTGTATTTTAATTTTAACCTTTGCTTCGAAGATTTTAAATTTGTTATTTAGTGTTTAGGTCTTTACTTTTTACACACTGGTTAAATCTTTATTTTATTATTTACTACGTATCATAAGTTCATTACTTCTGGAAATGTTTCATTATATTATATATGTCGTAGACCTTAACTTTGTGAATTATTAGATAGTTCTATCTTTCATATTCACTTCAAAGATTTTAACTTCATTATTTATTGCTGAGGCTTTAGCTTCATTATTTACTGCTTATTATTAACTTCATTATTTACTGCTTATTATTAACTTCATTATTTACTGCTTATTATTAACTTCATTATTTACTGCTGAGATATTAACCTTATTATTTACTGCTTATTATTAAATTCATTAGTTACTGCTGATTATTCACTTCATTATTTACTGCTGAGGTATTAACTTCATTATTTACTGGTGATTATTAACTTCATTATTTACTGCTGAGGTATTAACTTCATTATTTACTGATGAGATATTAACCTTATTATTTACTGCTGAAGTATTAACTTAATTATTTACTGCTAAGGTATTAACTTCATTATTTACTGCTGAGATATTAACCTTATTATTTACTGCTGAGGTATTAACTTCATTATTTACTGCTGAGATATTAACCTTATTATTTACTACTGAAGTATTAACTTAATTATTTACTGCTGAGATATTAACCTTATTATTTACTGCCGAGGTATTAACTTAATTATTTACTGGGTAGATTTTATTAACCTTGTTATTTACAATATTATCCTTAACTCTATTATTTACTTAGCAAGTTTATTTTGTTTTATTTGGGGTGCTGATTCATTTTGTTTCATTCGGGATGTTGTTTATTTTGTTTTATTTGGGGTATTGGTTCTTTCCCACAGTGGATCAATGCTACAATCCGGGATTCATTTCCTAGTAGTTGACAGAATGCATATAGTCCATTGTGTAGCTTTGCACTAAGAAAAGAATAATAATATTTTGATTCTAAGATTTGTATTTAGTGGAAATACCTTTTTAATATTTAATGTATTGATCTTGACCGTTTTGTTAACTAGGTAGATATTTACATGACCTTTAGAATATGCTCAAATTAATTTATAAAATTTTCTATAGGGTGGTGGCTACATGATGTACTGGTTTGATACTTACTCAGCAGGGATTTCTCTGTTGTTTTCTGCGTTGTTAGAGGCCATTGGAGTAGCTTGGATCTATGGTAGTTGTTGTTGTTTTTTTCTAATCAAGAATTAAAATAAATTCTTCTGTAGTACTTTCATAAAAATAAGTATCTTTGTTACTAAAAATGGTCCTAACTGATAAACAGTTCTATTTTTAAATAGCTCGATATTAATTTGAAAATTTCAAAACTCTTTCGATGGCCCAAGTAACTGTTTTTTTTTTAGATTATGATTTTCTAAGTTTTAAGTTTTGTTCTAACATTATCATGTATTAAACATGAATAATTTTCTCATTTCTTAATCAGGGCTGGATTAGTTGCTTTACCTTGCAATACTAAAACGTTTCACGTATTCTTTGTTTTCAATTAAATTCTAAAGGAATGTTAGAAAATATTTATTTGGAGGGTTTTCAAATATTTCATAACTTTCAATTTTAAACAAGAGTGTTATAAAAATTCTAAAACAGTGAAAAGATTATAGAATATCTGGAGTGGAATATTTCAATGTTATTTGTGCGGCATTCTCGTCTCCCTCTCTTCCTTACTTTGTGTTTTAAATCCCCGTTCCTTTTTAATGTTTCCATATATATATATATATATAATATACCTAACCACTAACGTTACTATACTTTGTAGGTTTAGAAAACTTCTGCGAAAACATAAGAGAAATGCTTGGCTTTTTTCCTGGCCTTTTCTGGAGATTGTGCTGGAAATTTATCAGTCCTATTTTTCTGGTGGTAAGTAAAAGAGAAAGACATTTTGACCATTTTGCTAGATTCAATATTAATGATATTAAAAAAGTCGTAACTATTTGCTGATTTCGTACAGATCTTCTGCCCGTTTGATTATTTCTTTCATATATTTTAATGTCGGATAAATAACTGATTTTTTTATTTAACTGTATTGGTTCTGTTTTAGAGTAGTGCTTTTCGTGTTTTAACTAATATTTTCTATTGTTAAATAAAACTCAGTTGCTTAAAATATGAAGAGTTTCATATATTTAAAAAGGCTCAAGTCCAGTACCATTAGACAATTGAATTAACGTAAAAAAAGTCATGCTAACTTTCTTTTTCTTTTCACTTATCTTTGGAACTATTGTTATTCAAATCTCTTTTGGCCTATTAACATTTCTCACATTTATTCCTTTCATCCTTTGTAAGTGTAACCCTAATTTGATTCTTCTTCAGTGAGCTTTAATGTAGCTTTTTGGTGTATTTAACAACTAAAATATCCAACAACAGGCAATAATAGTGTCGGCGATTATCACCAATCCACCACTGATTTATCAAAGCTATAAATATCCCGAGTGGGCTGTGGCTCTGGGATGGACATTTGCACTCTCTTCTGTTATCATTGTTCCAGTGGTAGCTTGCTATAAGCTGTACAAAGCCCGTGGTAGTTGTACTGAGGTGAGTAATTACAATTCACGTTTTTTATCAAAAAAATATAATAAACTGTATCACTGTCTCTAAATAACTGGAACTTAAGAAATGAAGAAAAACGTATCTGGCATTTGTGGTAAAAATAGCAATAATTTATAATTGTGAAATAAACATATTTATTTACAAACACCTGAATGTTTACAGTGAACTAAATTATTAAAATGAATTAAGAAGTTTTATAATGTTTCTAAACAATGGACTGAAATTTTGCAATAAATTGAATGTTTGAAATTGGATAAGTAATTAAAGTGAATGGAATGTTTATTTATAAACAAGATACTTACATCATCTAAATATCAAAAATTAATTTGAAATCTAAAGAAACCTAATAATTACAATGAAAGAAAAATTGATAATAAATGAATATTTGCAGTGAACTAAATATTTACAGAAAACTGACTGCTTACAATGAAAATCAAATTTACTCTTGTAACAGTTTTTATTGTTGGACGTCTTGGATCTTCCTGTAAAAAAGAAAAGTGTAAAGTCCAATTCACTTAATGATAACGAAATCATTTTATTTCTTGAATTGCAGATCTAGACATTAGCATATTTATTGTATTTAACAGGCCTAAGTTCACAGAAGACGCTACTACAACAATTCCATACATACTAATATTCGATTATCTCTATTCCTTCGTCAAATCACAAAGACCATAATCATAGTACAGAAGTAACTAAATAACAAACTGAATCAATGAATATTTTACAACTCAATGTAACTTAATAATATACTCAATAATCATCCACTTTAGTTTAATCTGCGTTCTATCTGCTTTAGACTCAACAATCAAACTCTAGCACATAACCTAAACCACTAGTTCTCGAACTTTGTCATAGTAAGCCTCCTCAAGTTACTGCGCCCTCCCCTCATAGTTTATTGAAACAACACAACAAACTGAAAATCTTATATGTTGCAAAAAAGAATAATAAAGTAGAAAGGCTTTGATCCGTGTAGTTAAAATTGAAATATCTTTATTTTAAAATTTAATAAATTAATATAGATATATAACTTTTTTCAAAGAATCTAACTTTACTTAAAAAATGATACAACTTGTGCCTCCATAGACATATTTCCGTACTCCACAGTTTGAGAACCATTGACCTAAACTAACCTAACAATGGCCTGACACACGCACAGCGAATCAGATTACACTAGACTCAACAACCAACGCGAGTATTAAATTTAGTTATTTGTTAAAGCGATAGTTTATCATACGTTGTGTAGTTCAACAGTTACGAATTGGTGATTGCTATATTATTGCTTCATGTTACTAGAACCTTCTGAGTTTTTCTCGTTGTTGTAATTGAGTATTATTGTATCGTAAAATCTAGTAGTGTGTGGAATATTCTAGACCTCCGCCGGGGTATAAATATACGTCGAAAGTTTAGTTCGAAAGTTAGATATAGACTGCATTTAGCCATAAAGAGCATATAGTGGCGATTTTTAAAGTGAAATTATCACAGACTAAAAACAGAGTAGAGAAGAATAATTCGTCTTGTCAAATTGTGTTTTAAAGTAATTGAACCAGTCTGTGTGGACTTTGACGAAAAAGAGAAAATTATTTAAGGTTCCAGATACAAATGTGATAACCAATAGTGTAATGAACACTTGTACATTTGACTTGTTTTAATATATTATTCTAAAACAAGTGGACTGCGTGCTGTTTGTGTATTGTTGAAATTTATTGCCAACAAGTCACAGACACCCACTGTAAAGAATCCGGCCCATATATAAAAACCTGACAAGTATATACATAAATAGACTGCAAGAGGTGCGGGGGGAGCAACAAAACGCATGTTTAGGAAGGGTGGCAAAATCAGAAGTTTGCACACAACTGCTCTAATACTAAACATTTAGAACATAATTACTTTGACAATTAGAATAAAGTACTTGCCTCTTGAAGCTAGAACATACCCAGGAACCCACATAGAGAGTAGGGTACAGAAGTAACACAACATAGATCCTCCTGATTGTTAATTGTTCAGCACCGCTACCTGGCTGGTCAATAATTGTATTTCCTATACCAGCCTATTTGCTGTCACATGAAATGCTGTTGACAGTTCATTGGACACTACCAACTCTTGTGTATTCACGTTCGGGAGAATTGGATTATGTTTATGTAGAAGAACAAGGTTTTTGTGAGGGCTGATTGTTGGTGCTAGAAATTCCACTTTCTTTTTGTCTTCGTTGTCAATGTACGTTTCAAATAATGCTTCAAGTTCCCATTTGGTAGGAAAGAAAAGACTTTTAATAAGACCTTGTAACTCTGAGGTGTGTCCACATATCATTGTTGGATTGATCATTTCCTTGCTAGCCAGGAAAATATTGGTTGTTTCTTTCTTCTGGTTGAGCCTTACCGGTTAAAGAAGTTTTTTTTTGTTTTTCTGATAGCGTTCTTGTGAATGGCACTGGGGACACCTCTTCTTCAAATGACAATTGAAGGCACTCATCTGGTGTTCCTAGTGCCATTAGTACTGAACATTTGTATCTATTGAAACCAATGTAATGTGGTCACTGCTTCAACATCTACCTGGGTCTCAGGATTAACTGTATCTTTCGGGTTATTTGTGAAAGCTAACATTTCACGTGGCATATTTCTAAAAGTTTCAAGCTCAAGTGAAATGGCCAGGAACGGAAATTCTGAAGTTTCATTTACAAGTAGGGAAAGTTGAACTGAGTGTCAACTTATTAGTTGTACAGCAAACACTTGTTATAACGTACAATGTGCCTTAGTTGTTCATAGTTTTAGACATCCAAGTTATTGTAAGTAATAAAACTGACGTTCTGAGAGAAATAGATTTTGTATATTTGTGGACACACATGTGTTATCATGGTAAAAACTAGGTGGTTGTCGACATCACATGACCACCTGCAGTGTTCTGATACAAGTATAGCCAGAGCTGGAAGTTTTAGGTCATAGGTTTAGCAGTTCACTCCTGTGTGTGTATAACTCTTACAGAATACTTTTACTGTTGAGTACCCAATAACTCGGGCAGTAAAGATCGCCACGTTCATTCACTCATTACTCTGGTTGTCCTAATAAGTGTAATTGATCGTTTAGTAGAAAACATCTTAAAGTAAAATTACGTTCAATAAAGCAAGAGTGATTACACTGAATACACACCCCATTACTTACACCACCAGGTAATCGGAACATAAGGGCATAGTTATCTTTTGTACATTCAGAAAATAATTATTTTAAATTCCAAATGCAGTCTTGCAATTAAATTTTCCTGGCCTTTGCTTTACTTAATCATCCTTAGATGTATTTACCACATAGCTACATCTCACCTACTCCACAGGATAGGCTTGCAGAAAACTCATGTAGTAAGTTCATCCCAAAGATGCATGTGTCTGGATCAAGATCAGCTACCATTCTGAATAAATATCATTAATAATAGCAAGTCACAGCCATACATCGCCAGTTACCTATACCTCATCTCCACTAGATAGCACAAAATTAGTGTTTACTGACTTGATTTATGGATTTTCTAGAAGCTACAAGAATGAATAAAGTCTGGCTGGTCTAGCATCGACTCACATCCACTTATGATTACCGATACAAACCAGATTGTACTCGATCCAGTTTTAGCTGGATCTTCACTGTGTCCGTCCAGGCTAGTTACCGACCTCGACCTGAGGCAATCTAGTTTAAAGTAGCTGAGCTTACAATTCTGACAGCTCACCCCTTATCATTTTGCTGCTGCCATATGCCAATCCAACGAGATGTTTTCTGTTAAGTTCCTTTCGGCACTCAAACTTATATTCAATGTCCTAGCTGCCTACAGTGAAAATATGAATCTCAGCTTTTACGAATATGTTGACTATAATAGTTGTCTCACTATATCTGATGTTCAACTTTCTTGTCTCATGATTGGATCTCTTCTTTTCTGATAATCTACAGCTTATTCTAATCGTGTCTGAGTTGAGACATATTCTGAAAGATGTAGATCGTTCTCGATAGTGTGCCATATAAACTTAGCCATAGTAATTGTTGTAACTGGCTTTTCTTGGTTTGAGGTTTTACTAAATTACAAATCTTATTACAATCGACACAGCTTCAGTTGCTGTAAAACGGTTTATTATCCCTAAATAATCAGAATAAGCTTACTCGTAGAACCTCAATGAATTTATCTAAGAGGACATCCTCATGGTCAGTTTCAGTCGTGTATAGAAATGTCTTGCCATCTAGACTGTACAAACCATCAGTGTAAGCTGAAACTCCTTTATAGAGTCCTCTGTCTTTAGTCTTCAGCTCTGCTCTATGAATAGTACGACTTTCTCTTACAAAAAATATCTTCCGTAATTACATCTCGACAATACTGACGTTCAGTCCTATCTAGGGCTAGACCATCCAGGGTTAGCAGAAGGCACCGTGTAGTTAGTTCTTGCGTCCAAACGTATTATGTAGCTACTTGTCTCCATTACTTCAGGAATATATTCAAATTTTACTTTGTTGCTATCCTTGAAAACTGTAAGATTTTTTTACCATTCCCTGCTGTGAACACTAAGGAAAGCTAACCTGTATTAGTTCTTTGATCAAGTAAAGCTGGTTAATTTTACACCTACAATGGTGCTGAGCTATGACTTGTGACCTCTATTTCTATGTGGATGTGTAGCACCTGGGTTAACTTTACACCAATAATGGTGCTGAAATATGAATTGTGACCCCTATGTCTATGTGAACGTTTGACATCTGTGTACTGTCAGGTAGATGACGTACTGCTCCTGTTGTTTAATGGACATGTTGTCAAACCACTAAATTGCATACTGAACACTCCATCTATGGGTAATTACATCAAGTCCTGGCTATCCATCATTTATTCTGAGTTCACCTAATTTTTGTTTCACTAAATGTGAAGTGAACATGACTGATAGAGTGAACCTATTAACTGCTCCTCTCTCTGTCTCTCTCATGTGCTGTAAATACTTCATCCGAGCATTTGGAAATAAGTATGCCAGATGATGATGGGGAGATCCTATTCTGTATGTTCTCTCCATGCCAGATGATAGGGACTGGTTGTCATGGCATAATATCTCAGATCACAAAATCAACAGTTGAAGTACAGGGGTGCTATACTTCGCATCATTCCAAATTAGTCCAGGGTTTGTCTCTTCTTCTCTGCTGTAGCTTCATGATTCATGCCCGAGAGAAGCAATTTTTGTTATTTGTAAAAAGTAACAAAAAACATGAATTATTGGAAGGTGAAGCTATGCAGGCAAGAACGCGGCATCCTCAAAAGTTGAAATTGGTTTAGGTTAGTTGTTAAAGTTTGACGTAACTGTACCAGTAATGTTTGATATTAACACTAATTACTGACATTGCCAGCCAATATAAAAATGTTAATAGAAATATAAAATACTTCTTTAACGTTTTACAGATGGTTATTTTCGAGAATATGTTAAACTATCCTGTAAATAGTAATGAAAAATGAAAGTTCTTTTAAAACTAACACATTGTACAATTCAAATTTTCTCTCTTTTTGATTTCAGAGGCTTGCCAAAGTGATTACTTCAAAACAAGATGCAAAGAAGGCAGATAAGGTAAATGTAAAACAATTTTCTGTTTGATTTTTTCTATCAAATATTGACTTTCAACAAGCAGTAACATATGTCTTGTTTCATGCAGGAATTTTATTTTTTTTACAGAAAGCTTTTTATTGGAAGTTGGTTTATTGTTAAAATCATAAATAATATTCAACGTTAAACTGGTACACAATTAAAAACA